CGCCCTAACTTAGACTTTCTTACTTGTTTTTAATATTTTTATTGAGCTTTGTACCACACGTGGTGGATTTTGCCCATTTTCAATACCATCCGTCATACGCTGAAAAGAAGTACATATACCAAGTTTCGTTAAGATATCTAAATTTTTACTCGAGTTATCGTGTGCACAGACGGACGGGTGGACAGACGGTCACCGCTTAATCGATTTCTTTTTTCATTCTGATCATTTATGTATGTATGTCTATATTTATCTCTATTTGTTTTGGCTGTTACATACAACCGTTATGTGAATAAAGTAATAATACCATTGTGCAAAGTGCGCTCGGGTTTAAAAATACTTGACATCCGCATTCGCATCCGCATCCACGGATGTTGGATTTTAGACAACTGCATCCGCATTCGCATCCGCGGATGTCTTAAATTCCACATTCGCAACATCCCTCGTGAAGACCAGTATTGTGGATTTAAAATTACACCATCATAATGCTTGTCACGCCCACTTTAAGGGGGTTTTCGCCTTATGTTTTTTGTATATTTTTTATTTTTTGTTTATTTACTGGTCTTCACTATGCAAATCAACTTCAAAAAGTTCAACTGTTAATAGGTAAGTTAGCTTTAGGACAATCATGACCATCGTATATTAAGAAATGTTAAGCAAGCCTCTTTACCATTAAAATAACGTAAAGATGAAGTTTCTACGATGAGCAGAACTCGAGATGTAACTATTTGAAGAAGTGCGGGATTAATCAGAATCACGAAAAAATCCAAACTTTGACAGATCGTATATCCGAAGAAAAAGAAAATTTCTGGAATACATGTTAGCTTATTTCATGTATAGAACCTATAAAGAAATTTTAAGCTAATCGAAAGTGTAACACCAAACTTGGTGTCCGATATGAAAAAGAATACCTCATATATTTTATTACACACATATGCGTACCCATTTGTATTTAAATTTTAGATGTTTTCTCAACACAAGGCTCTTTAGAATTTGAAAAGAGTGTACGCAAAGCAGTGGTGCGTGCCCATCATCGGTTCTGGCAAAATAAGTACCTTCAAAAAGGGAAAACAACGACTACAGCTGCTAAAACAACAACCACAACCGCAACCTCAACCTCTACTTCAAGTTCTAATGCAAGCTGTAAATAATTTATAATAATTCCAAATGTTTAATTTCCCATTAATTTAATATATTTTTCATTATTACTATCCCCATTTAATGAAGTTAAGCTTTTGATTTATTTATTTACATATATTTTTTCTATGTTTAAGAAGTACAATTAATAAATTTTTTTTATGAAAAAATTTATGAAAGTCGCTTTTTTGGTGAGTATTCGCATCAATTCTTGTTGATATACATAAACATCAAGTGTGAGTGATCAATTATGATGTGTATCGTGATTCAATGGGCACGTTCAGAAGGCGCAACAGCTCAGTAACTTCTGCGATTACACCTTCTGAACGCGTTGTTGTGTGGTTCTGATCAACTGAACAGTTGCGTTTTAGATGATCGTAATATTTTTCTCTTCATTTGAGACAACATGTTGGTGTGTACCACTTTAAGGAGGTTTTCGCCTTATGTTTTTTGTAAAGAATTAAACACGGATTACGATGGTGTAATTTTCAATCCCTTATTTACTGGTCTTCACTATGCAAATCAACTTCAAAAAGTTCAACTGTTAATAGGTAAGTTAGCTTTAGGACAATCATGACCAATATAAGAATTAAGAAATGTTAAGCCCGCCTCTTTACCATTAAAATTACGTAAATATGAAGTCTCTACGATGAGCATGATTATTTGAAGTAGTACGGGATTAATCAGAATCACGAAAAAATCCAAACTTTGACAGATCATATCTCCGACGAAAAAAAAATTGCTGGAATACGTGTTAGCTTATGTCATGTATAGAACCTATACAAAAATTTTAAGCTAATCGAAAGTGTAACACCAAATTTGGTGTCCGATATGAAAAAGAATACCTCATATATTTTATTACATACATATGCATACCCCTTTGTATTTTAATTTTAGATGTTTTCTCAACACACGGCTCTTTAGAATTTGAAAAGAGCGTACGCAAAGCAGTGGTGCGTGCCCATCGTCGGCTTTGGCAACAGAAGTACCTTCAAAAAGGCAAAACAACGACTACAGCTGCGACAACAACAACCAGAACCGCAACCTCAACCTCTATCTTAACCTCTACTTCAAGTTCTAATGCAAGCTGTAAATAATTTATAATAATTCCAAATTTTTAATTTCCCATTAATTTAATATATTTTTCATTATTACTATCCCTATTTAATGAAGTTAAGCTTTTGATTTACATATTTATTTACATATATTTTTTTGATGTTTTAGAGGTACAATTAATAGATTTTTTTAATGAAAAAATGGATGAAAGACGCTTTTATGGTGAGTATTCGCATCAATTCTTGTTGATATACATATACATCAAGTGTGAGTGATCAATTATGATGTGTATCATGGTTCAATAATACAAGGCATCGTAAAGTTTCATCAGTAAAATAACTCTTCTTACCGTTTTTCCTGGTAGTGTATTGTGTTTTTGGTTCAATGTGTTAAACTATGTTCCCATTAGCGTAATTTAGAGGTCAATCTTAATTTACGCATAAATTAAGTACAAACTAAGTAATTTCGCCTTGTA